GGGGTTAGGCGCTGCGACCTTGCACCACAGAGAGAGCACTGAGAGAGGCTCGACAGTCCCCTGTCACACACAGAGCAGGCGGATAGGGAGGTTGTAGCCCCGCCCCCTGTCACACACAGAGCCGCAGGGCGATCAGGGGGTTTGGCGCTGCCCCCTGTCACGCTGATCCTGGTGCCGGGAGGCATATTACCCTTTTACTATATAGAATAGAGGCCTGGTGCATGGGTAGGGGCTGACTGGTTTGCCCTGAAGGGTGTCCTGGATCAGGGTGGGGGTCCCCACTGGGGTGCCTGGCTAGCCTGGATGAGGGGATGATGGCTGTTTGCAGTTGGTCACACACCCTTCCGGGTGGGGGTCCCCACTGGGGTGCCTGGCTAGACTGGGTGAGGGGCTGAGGGCTGTTTTCAGGCTGGTGGGTGACTGAAGCTCCCAACCGCTTCTTTTTTTTTCTTTTCTTTTTTTATTCTGGGCCAAGGCCTCTGCTGCTGAAAGCAGGTATCTGGTTTGTTTCGGTTCTATAATTGAAACACTGTATCATCTCCAGCTCTGAGATCCGGGCCGGCTGAAAGCTGGTTTCTGGGGTTTTGTTTAGCTTCTATATTTGTTACAATGTTTCAAACTGCCAGCTCAGAGGCTGGCAAGGCAGGCGGGGAATGTTGGAGTCCTCCTTCACTGAAGCAAGCAAGCCTCATGTTCGCTTCCAGCTGCCTGGCTGCCGGCCGCCATCTTGACTGGCAGTTAATTTGCATATCGCACTGATTAGCCAATGGGAAGGGTAGTGGCCGTACGGCTAATTACCATGTTTCTCTTTTATTAGATAGGAAGATAGTCCTTAATAATTTTACATGTGCTTTCATGAGTGTGTGGTGATTGGAGTGGCTATGTGTATTAGTAAGTGATTGAACCTATTGGTAATTGGATTTATGGCAATGTGTCAAAACTGACACTTTGAAGTTGGGAAGTTGGGAGAAACATTTTGTATGAAGTGGCAGAATGCTTTTTATTCCTCAATGTTTTTATTGATTTTAGAGAGAGAAAAGAAGGGAGAGGGAGAGAGAGATACCAACATCTATGAGAAAGAAACATCAACATTGATTGGCTGCCTCCTGCATGCCCCATGCTGGGCTTTGAGCCTGCAACTCGGGCATGTGTCCTGACTGGGAATCGAACTGGTGACCTCTTGGTGCATGGGTTGATGCTCAACCACTGACCCACACTTTCCTGGCCAGAATGCTCTTTTATGGTTGCTTTGTTTAGCATATAACAAGAGTCAGCAAATATTTTCTGTTAAAAGACCACATAGTAAATATTTTGTATTTTGTGGGCCATATGGTCTCTATCATAATGACTCAACTCTGCAAAAGTAGTTATAGGCAGTAAGCAAGTGAATGAGCGTGGATGTCTCCTAATAAAAACAGGCAGTGGTCAGATTTGGTCCACGTGCCATGGTTTGCCAGCTTCTGGCATGATGGGTGATACATGCTTTGAAAAATTGCTAATATAAAAGTCAGTTGTTTCTGTGACTAGCTTACATAGCACTTTATGATAGCATTGGGTATAAATAAATTTGCTTTAGTAGTAGTAGCAATAATAATAATGATAATAATAATAATAAAAAAATTTCCCATTAAGTCTTACCAGGCTGAGGAGACAAGGATTAATGTTTAGGACTCATTGGGGGAGAGAAACCCAGTGAACATCCCAGGCTCCTGTTGAAAGCAGCAGGGTTGTACTCGAGGAGGAGGTGAATTAGAGGTAGATAGAACCCTCTTCAGACTGAAACCTCTCCTTGACTCATCTCAGTTCCTGATCAGATTAAGGTGATCAGTCCCCATTTTAAGGACCTAGCAGAGAAAAGGATCAGCTCTTATTGAAGAAGATATATGTATAAAAATTGTAATTTTCTGTCATTCTATACAGGATTCATAAGCACATTACGAGACAGAATCATAGCTCCTGGTTGGGTAGAGTGTTGTCCTGATACACTATGGTTGTGGGTTTTATCTCCCATCAGAACACATACAAGAATCAACCAATAAATAAGTGGAAAAACAAATCAATGTTTCTCTCTTTTTCTCTCTCCCTCCCTTCTCTTTCTAAAATCAATAAAAATAAAAAAGACAGAATCATATGACTAAATATGAAGAGAAAAAAACTCCAAACAATTTGAACATACCTACAGGTGATCCAGTTATTAGAGTTAATAGGCAAAGACTTTAAAATAATGATTAATATGGTCAGCAAAGTAGAAAAAATTGAGAACTTCATCAGAGAATTAGAATCTATAAAAGGGAATTAAATTGAAATTCTAAAACTGAAAAATGTGTTAATTGAATTTTAAGTCTCCAGTAAATGGGTTTAACAGCAGATGAGACACAGCAGAAGGCAGGTTAGTGAACTAGAAGATAGTTTCATGAAAAGTCTTGAAATGAAAACATTGAGTGGAGGAAGAATAGAAAATTCATAAAATAGACATGAATCTAGTTTAAAAGTTCAACATGGGATTCCAAAAAGAGATAATGGGGAAAAGCAAAATGTGTGAAGGGGTAATGGTCACAAATTTCCAAAACTGCTGAAAGTTGCCAATCCACAGACTTAAGAAATTATGTTAACCCTAAGCAGAATAAATTTTAAAGAAAACCATACATACATAGACACATTTTTAAAAAATATATATTTTATTGATTTTTTACAGAGAGAAAGTGAGAGGGATAGAGAGTTAGAAACATCGATGAGAGAGAAACATCGATCAGCTGCTTCCTGCACACCCCCTACTGGGTATGTGCCCACAACCAAGGTACATGCCCTTGACTGGAATTGAACCTGCGACCCTTGAGTCTGATGGCCGACGCTCTATCCACTGAGCCAAACCGGTTAGGGCTATTACTCTTTCTATTGAGCATTATACTGAAAGCCCTAGTCAATGAAAATAAGGAAAAAATGGAAAAGTAAAGATTGGAAAGGAAGAAATCAGAATTATGCACAGATGACATTATTTACCTATGTACCTAGGTATCCAAATGAATGTACAGATGAGTTATTAGAATTAAGCAAATTTAGAAGAACCTTTGGATATAACTATGTTCAATATACAAAACTAAGTATATTTCTATATACTAACAATCAAATAGGTAATAGCATAGAAAAACATTAGCTATCCAGAAATAAATCTAAAGAAAGATGTGTAAAATGTATATACTGAAAAGTACAAAACATTATTAAAATACAGAAGACCTAAATAAATTGAAGGCTGTGTTATGTCTGTAAATGGAAATATTCAATATTATATAGTTATCAGTTTTCCCCAAATTAATATATTTAATACAATCCCAATAATTCACTACACTGCATACTTAATGATTTGCACACTGTTCTGTACATATAGTTCCATAAAAAGTTCAATTAAAAGGCATTGTAACATGTTGGGAGACTTGCAAATTTTTCATAGAATGATGTAGACTTAGATTATTATTAATATTTTGGGGACAAATGGTGATATTAGCTGTGATCTTTAATTATGATGCTTCCTTTGTTTTGTTCCATTGCTTGGTTATGCAGACGAGATAATATAGATTATTTAGGAAATCTTTAGTATGAAGATTTTGGGTTATACTGAAATATCTAACATTTTTATATTTTAGTTAAATGAAGTAAGTGAAGAAAACAAGAAGATGGAGATTCAGGCTAAAAGAGTTCAAGCTCGTTTAGATAATTTACAGGTAAGTTGCTTGTTCTTTTTGGCATAAGTGAATTTTATAATGATTGCCTTTGGATTTTCTCACTTTTAACATAATTGTTCTTTAATTCATGGATATGTGCTGTTGCAGAGGAAGTATGAATTTATGACAATACAGAGATTGAAAGGAAATTCCCATGCTGTTCATGAAATGAAAAGTTTAAGACAAGAAAAAGTACCAGTTTCAAAAACATATAAGGTATGATTTTATTGAAATTTTCTTTAGTGGAAAGCTGGGGAATTTTCTCTTTGTTCTTTAACCTTTTTATTTCATTTAGCAAATACTGTTTTTGGTATGAAAGGAATATCTTTATAATATTTCAAGTATGCCTTTTAAAAAGAATATATATTTATTGATTTCAAAGGGGAAGGAAGAGGGAGAGAGAGATAGAAACACCAATGATAAGAGAGAATCATTGGCCCTGACCGGTTTGGCTCAGTGGATAAGAGTGTCAGCCTGCGGACTGAAGGGTTCCATGTTCGATTCCAGTCAAGGGCATGTACCTTGGTTGCGGGCACATACCCAGTAGGGAGTGTGCAGGAGGCAGCTGATTGATGTTTCTCTCTCATCGATGTTTCTAACTCTCTATCCCTCTCCCTTCCTCTCTGTAAAAAATCAATAAAACATATTAATAAAAAAAAAAGAGAGAGTCATTGATTGGCTGCCTCTTGCTTGCTCCACACTGAGGATCGAGCTCACAATCCAGGCTTGTGCCCTGACCGATAATCAAACCATGACCTCCTGGTTCATATGTTGACACTCAACCACTAAGCCACGCCGGCTAGGCTCAAATATGCTTTTATTTGCAAAAGGAAAACAATGTTTCAGCAGTGTTTATGGCACAGTAACACTGATAGACCACAGGAATTTAAGCTTAGTAACAGCTTTATTATTCATTGTGTTTTGAGATTCCATAAGCCTTCATTGTTACTTTTCTATCAAAACTGCAATCCATCCCTTTGTTGGGTTCCATTTATTATTTTTTCCTAAGAATTTTATTTATTTATTTTGGGGTATAAATTACATGTACCAGTAGTAACATAATATACAGATTCTTAAGTGTACAGCTTGACAGTTTTGACAAGTGCCTACACTCATGTAACCTACAACTAGATATAGAACATTTCCATCACTCTAGAAAGTTCTCTCATGTCCCTTCAGTTATTCCTTGCAAGAAATAGTTGTTGATCTGATTTCTATTATCATAAATTAATTTTTCCTATTTTAGAACTTCAGTCAATGGAATTAGGTAGTATTTTCTCATTTGTGTAAGGCTTATTATGTTCATCATAGTTGAGTGTATCAGTAGTTCCTCTGTATTGTTCAGTAATTTTCTATTGTATGCATATATCAGTTTGTTTATCCCTTTTTTTAAAATAAATCTTTATTGCTCAGATGTTCCTCTTTTTCCCCCCCCCCATAGCTCCCCTCCACCTGGTTCCCACTCCACCCCATGCCCTTATCCCCCGCCACTGTCCTCATCCATAGGTGTAAGATTTTTGTCCAGTCTCTTCCCACACCCTTCACACCCCCATCCCCCTGGGAATTGTCAGTCCACTCCCTTTCTATGCCCCTGCTTCTGTTATATTCACCAGTTTATTCTGTTCATCAGATTTTTTTATTGACTTAATTTTTAGATTCACTTGTTGATAGATTGTTGTCCCTTTGTTGTTCATACTTTTTATCTTTACCTTTTTCTTCTTCCTCTTCTTAAAGAATACCCTTCAGCATTTCATATAATCCTGGTTTGGAGGTGATGAACTCTAGCTTTTTCTTGTCTGTGAAGCTCTTTATCTGACCTTCAATTCTGAATGATAGCTTTGCTGGGTAAAGTAATCTTGGTTGTAGGTTCTTGTTATTCATCACTTTGAATATTTCTTGCCACTCTCTTCTGGCCTGCATGGTTTTTGTTGAGACATCAGCTGACAGTCGTATGGGTACTCCCTTGTAGGTAACTAACTGTTTTTCTCTTGCTGCTTTTAAGATTCTCTTATTGTCTTTAGCCCTTGGCATTTTAATTATGATGTGTCTTGGTGTGGTCCTCTTTGGATTCCTTTTATTTGGGCTTCTCTTCGCTTCCTGGACTTGTAAGTCTATTTCTTTCATCAGGTAAGGGAAGTTTTCTGTCATTATTTCTTCTAATAGGCTTTCAATATCTTGCTCTGTCTCTTCTTCTAGCACCCCCATAATTCAGATGTTGGTACGTTTGAAGTTGTCCCAGAGGCTCCTTACACTCTCTTCATATTTTTGGGTTCTTTTTTCGTTTTGCTTTTCCAGATGGGTGTTTTTTGCTTCTTCGTATTTCAAATCTTTGACTTGATTCTTGCGATCCTCTAGTCTGCTGTTGGATCTCTATATATTATTCTTTATTTCAGTTGGTGTATGCTTAATTTCTGCCTGGTCCTTTTCCATTTTTTTGGTATTCTCATTAAGATCCTTGAAGGTCTCACTAAGTTCCTTGGAGGTTTGTAGAAGATTCTTGAGTAACCTTATAACTGTGGTTTTTGAACTCTAAATCCAGTAATTTGCTTTCCTCCATTTCTTTTATTTGTGACATTTTCTTTGTCTCTGCATTTTGGCTCCTTCCCTGTGTTGATAGAGTGGCTTTGTGTGGTAGGTGTCCAATTGGGCACAGTGGCTCAGCCTCCCCAATCACCTGAGGTGGACACTTTTTTTTTTTTCTTTGCCTTAATCTTTTATTTTATTTTATTTTGTTTTATTTCTTAAAGTATTACAAAGAGTATTATACATGTCTCCTTTTTCCCCCCTTGACATTCCCCCGGCCTCCCCACCCCGCAGTTTCTTGTGTCCATTGGTTATTCTTATATGCATGCATACAAGTCCTTTGGTTGATCTCCTATCCCCCCCAACCCTCCCCAGGCTTCCCACTGTAGTTTGACAGTCTGCTCAATGCTGCTCTGCCTCTGTATCCATTTTTGTTCGTCAGTCTATAATGGTCCTTATTGTCCATAAATAAGTGAGATCATGTGGTATTTTTCTCGGCTTCCCAGGGGCCGTCTCAGTCTCACAGGGGCCATCTCAGCCTTGCAGGGGCCGTCCCAGCCTCACAGGGGCCATCTCAGCCTCACTGGGGCCGATTAAACCTCACCAGGGCCGTTTCAACCTCACTGGGGCTGATTAAACCTCACCGGGGCCGTTGCAACCTCACCGGGGCTGTTGCAACCTCACTGTGGTTGATTCAACCTCACCGGGGCCGATTCAACCTCACTGGGGCCATCTCAGCCTCACCGGGGCCTGAGGTGGGCACTCTTGGTGCACCCCTTTGTGGGCTGGGTGCACAGTCTTGTTGTAGTTAAGCCTTGATTGCTGTTGGTATCCCTGGGAGGAAATGATCTCCAGGCCTATTGACTGCAAGGACCTGCTGTGTCTACAGTGGAAATACTGCTGCGCTGGAGACACCCTTATGGGGCAGGACTTGCTTCAGTGGGGCTTTGGTGCTCACTGAGTCTGCCTCTTGAGTGTGTCACTTATGGATGTGAGGAGTTCAAATCTGGTATCTGACCACTGGGTACACTGGCTCCTGGATCTCCAAGGAGGTGCAAATTCAACCACTGTGTGAGTCCACCCAGCAGGAGCTACCGTGAGATCTACAGTTTTCTCCTCTTTGTTTGAGGTTTGGAAATTTTGGAGCTCTCTGACCCAGCTGCAGTTTGTTCGGTTAGGCTGCAAAAGGACAGGCGATTCATTTGCGCCGCTGCGCACAGCTTGGGTGGGGTTGTAAATTGGGTGGGGTGGGCTCTCAGAGACTCACCAGGGCGGAGCAAACAGTGATGGCTGTCCGTCAGCCGTTTCCAGGTCTCCAGGTCTCCGTGTCCCTGCGTCCCTGAGTCCTGCGCCCTCACAGTAACAATGATCCCTGCGAGCAGTTCTGCAAGAAAGCCACCCTTGCTTTCCGACCCGATGCCAAACAGTCCAGTTTCTCCCCATAGGAGTCTGGGACCCTAGAGTCTTGCCGGAAATGAGTTCAGTGCAGTCAGGAGCTTGTATCTCCCAATTGATAAAAACCGCGCACCCAGGTGCAGCCCGGTTCGCGTGCCTCCGTACCTCTGCTCTTGGCTCCACTGCACCTCCTACCCAGCCTCAATGTGCTTTTTTCTTTCCTTCTAGTTGTAGAACTTCCACTCATCCAGCTTTCCCATGGTTCTGGATGATAGCCATTTTGTGTTTTAGTTGTAGTTTTAATGTGGTTGTGGCGGGTGGCAAGTACAGGTATATACCTTATGCCACCATCTTGGTTATCTATCCCTTTTGTTGATAGACACTTGAGCTGTTTCTAGTTTTTGTTTATTATAAACTAGAGGCCCGGTGCATGAAATTCGGCCAGGCACTGGTAGGGTCCCTAGCGGCTGGTGGCGGCTGGGCAGGTATTCCCTCCCTTCCCCTGGCCGGCCATGCCCTCTGGTCGAACTCCCGGATGAACTCCTGGTCGAGGGGACAGTTTGCATACTACGCTTTTATTATATAGGACTAGAGGCCCGTTGCATGAAATTTGTGCAAGGGGCTCGGCCCTCACAGCCCCGGCTACTTCGGCCCTTGTAGCCCCGGCATCGTCCAGAAGGTTGTCTAGACCAGCCGTGGGCAAACTACGGCCCGCAGGCCGGATCCGGCCCATTTGAAATGAATAAAACTAAAAAAAAGACCGTACCCTTTTATGTAATGATGTTTACTTTGAATTTATATTAGTTCACACAAACACTCCATCCATGCTTTTGTTCCGGCCCTCCGGTCCAGTTTAAGAACCCATTGTGGCCCTCGAGTCAAAAAGTTTGCCCACCCCTGCTCTAGACGGTCTGCTGTTTGGTCTAATTAGCATATTAGCTCTTTATTATTTAGGATAAATATGCTAGCAATATTTGTGTGCAAGGCTCTTTGTAGACATGTGTTTTAATTCCTCTTGAAAATGTTACCAAGACTGGAATTTCTGGGACATAAAGCAGATGTATATTTAATTTTAATGAAACTGTCGAACAGTTTTTCACAGTGGTTGTATCATTTTGTTCTTCTGCTAGCTAAATGATTGTTCTGGTTGCTCTACAACCTTGTCAACATTTGGTATTTTAAATCTTTTTCATTTTGACCTTTCCAGTGGGTAGATAGTGATATCTCATTGTGGGCTTTTATAATTTTGATGAATTCCCTAGTTCTTTTCCTGAAGTAAATTGGGAGTTTAATAATGGTGGCAAAAAAAAAAAAAATGGTGGCAGAGGTACCTCAGCAAGGGAAGCAGGACTACTGTTGGGCTAAAGGTGTTAATTGGCCTGTGATGAAGCCATCATGGCTCCACAGAACAAAATTCAGTGAAAGATTGCTGTGTAGAGCTCTGTGGTCTCAGAGCTGATGGAGCTTTCAGTCCTGCAACAAGGAGTTTGTGGAAAATGACACCAGTCAACAGAAGATCAAAGACTTCCATACAAAGTATGTGGTTCGTAGGTCGACACTCAACCGCTGCAAGACTAGGCCTGATTGGAACTGCTCCTATTGAGCTTTTGGACTTTTCCACTTGTAGGTGCAAAGAATTACCGTGGATTAAGGCTGTGTCTGTGAAGAGCAAAGAGGACCTGGTGTCCCAGGGCTTCATGAGTTCACAGTTGAGGATTTCCACAACACTTTCATAAACTTGGTCGAGCAGGTTGAGTAGCAGATTTCAGTAGTCCACCTGTTGGCCTCCTTTAATGATCAGAGAACCTTGAACTACCTTGTGGTCTACCTGCGACCGCTCACCTCAGGCTACTTACATTGTGAGAGCAGTTCGTTAAGCACTTCATCAGGGGGTGGGCAGTCTGTCAAGGAGTTCTGTCTTCAGTAAGTGGAGGCCATATACAAATGGAATAACCACAGCCATATCATCATGTTGACCCATGCCCTCAGGGACCCAGTGAGGGTGGGAACACATATCAGCACATATTTCCTGAGTGCTCCAAGCCCAAGGTCTGCCTATTCTATTGACTGGAGCCTGTGATGTGCTATGCACATAGTGTTGGCCCCATTTGGCAGCCACTGCTCTGGTGGCCCTCCCCTTTGCCAGGCACCAGATACGTACAAAGGTTTTTTTGTAGTTCTACCTGATCCTATTTCATGATTCCCATGCCCCTCCCCCCTTTTCCTGGCATTCAACTTTCCATGTATGCTGGCAATGGAACACATTTTTAATTTAAAAAAGAATTGGAAAAAGTGGAGATTTCATATCAGGTAGTCAAGATGATTGAAATTTTCATCTAAAGATTTTATTTGAAGAAAATTGAGAAGGTTAAAAGTTTTTTTATTCAGAATAATGTAGCTTTTTGTTTTCAGTCATCTGATTCACTTTTTATGAATTGCTATCTGCGTAATGTTACCTTTATATTAATTTTAAAATTTAATTTGCTTTTATATTTCTCTTTTTGGATTTTTAAAAATCTAAATGAAGTATAGCATAGTTTCCTGCTTTAAGTAGATGTGTGATAAATATTGAATTAAATTGACTAAAAATAATTTTAATACTAAAATTAGCCCAATTGAATTTATAAATTTTTTTGTGACGTTTTGTTTTTATTTTTTTCTTATGTTTTGGTAGACTCTCAGAGAATAGGATTTCCAAGAAAAAAAAAATTCTTATTGTGTTTATAAAATACTATAATATTAACATGAAACGTTTTGGAGAGGAAGAAAAGATACATTTTCATGGTAGAAATTATTTAGCTTTTGAAACCTTTTGTTTGTTAAAGTCTTTTAGTTATGGTAGTTCATACTTTCGAGTTAAGACCAATTTTACTTTTCTGTGTTATCAATCTTGGATAAAGAATTTTTATGAAACTTCTCTGTTTTGGTAATGAGCTGTAGTACTTTCAGTTTCCTTATTATGATGAGTTTTCCTCTTTCCTCAGCCAGCATATAGTATATTTCTAATATTAATTGGAGATATTTGATTTGGAATTTTTTTCATTCTGAGCTTTTTGAATACATATTTTAGTGAAGTGATTTAGGTAAATTATACTATAATCACTTAACCAAATTTAAAGCTTGCCTTTGAAGTTTTATGAAGTTGTGGACTGAAATTTTGATTAAATTTTTTACATACAGGTACCACTTAATGCACAAGTTTATGAACTTTTAACTGTCTTCATGGATTGGATTTCGGATTATCACCTTAGCAAATTGAAAAGTGAAGAATCTGGGATGGATGGTGAAAAGCTGCTATTTAAATTTGCTTCTCAGAGAAATGATATTCAGGAGAAGTGTATAAAGGTTTGTTTTTTTATTTTGAAATATATGACTCTAAAAAGATTCATTTCATACTTAATTATAATTAATTCATATTTATATATTTTTTAACATGATAGGAATTTAAAAAAAATAGAGACCAGAAATTAAAAACCTACCTTCAAAATGAAAAAATAATTGTGTATTAGAGTTAGGCAAATGATCAGTGATGTGAACAGTTTGTGATACATACCATTTTAGGATTCATTCCCACTAAAATAACTTTTATTTTGCCTTTTGTTATAAAGGGATGAAAGGTCTATTTTCAGGGGTCTTCTCACCAGTAAAGAGAGATGACTGTTTTGTTAAATTATAGACATTAATTTGGATATTGGTACTCATGATTTCTAGTTGGTATAAATGGTCATTAGGTATTGACAGTTATATTCCACAAGAAATACATTAAGATTTTGAAGCGTTTACATCTAAAGTTATTTGGTTTAACATTTTCAGAAAAAATTCCATGATTATCATATACAGGCCAGGGTTTCATATTGGGAAATTACTTTTAGTTTTCATCCTTGTCTAAAAAGTTTCTTCTAAATTCCTTTTATAGTAGACCACAGTGTGGAGTTTCTGAGATCACTTGAGAGACTGAGAATAACAGCCACCATGCAGGAGCAGTTGCCCCACCTTGTTGGAAACCCTCTCATCACCTGTGGGGACGATTGCCTGAGGGCTACTCAACACTGAATCTAATCAGTCTCTAGGTAGAGGTGGATCTCTGGAGGCTTTGTGTCTTTGCCTCATCTAGTTAGTCAGAAACAGTATTTGGCACTGTCCTGCACTAGAGAATGGGAGGTGTAGCAGATCTACATAATACAGCGGTTCTCAACCTGTGGGTCGCGACCCCTTTGGGGTCGCCTAAGACCATTGGAAAACACATATATAATTACATATTGTTTTTGTGATTAATCACTATGCTTTAATTATGTTCAATTTGTAACAATGAAATTGGGGGTCACCACAACATGAGAAACTATATTAAAGGGTCACGGCATTAGGAAGGTTGAGAACCACTGACGTAATACATAGTCACAAAACCAAATAGGCAGACAAACTGGGGAGACAAAGAAACAACCCCCAAATGAAAGAACAAGAGAATTCTCCAGAAGAAGAGAGAAATGAGATGGAGATAAGACATTTATCTGATTTAGAGTTCAGCATGATGCTAAAGATGCCCAACAGCATGAGAAAAGGTATAGTAACTATGAAAAAAGAATAGGCAGAAATAAAGAATGACATAGCACTACTAAAGAATACACTGGCAGCTGGTCTCCACAGCCTTTTAGGCCTGGAACCTGGGTGCCCGAGGTCCCGAGCCCCTGTTCCTTGGCCCCTGGAACGTGCAGGTGTTGGGATCCCAGAGGACCTTGGTCCATGCTGTGTAGCCTCGGGAGGGAGGCAGGGTAGCGGGCCGGGGTAGAGCAGTGGCCGTGAGCCGTGAGCCATCCCTGTGAGATCTCTGCCGGCTGCCAGGCACAGCCATGGAGGTCTATATCCCATCCTTTCGCTACAAGGAGTGACCTGGAACAGGGATACATGGTGTTTAAGATATAAGTGCTAATGAATGGAAGAAAATGTTTTGTTGAGAAAAGGTACAGCGAATTTCATGCCTTGCACAAAAAGCTTAAGAAATATATTAAAACTATTAAAACTCAAGAAATCCCTTCAAAACATCTGAGGAACTGGGTCCCAAAAATGTTGGAATAAGGACAATCAGGTTTGGAAACATTTATAGGCTGACATTTTAGAAAATGAAGAACTTCCCAAACTATTCCTTCATTTCCTAAACATACGGCATTTGCCTTCTCTACCAAAGGCAGAGAGTTGTGGATCTTTTTGAGGAGACAGAATCTGAAGAGTCAAGCAAACTGTCCCACCAGCTGGTGCTGCTGTTACTCTGGAATCCATACATCTTGCCTGCAGCCAGCGATTTTCCAAATGTGGTTATTGAAGGAGTTCTCTCATGCTGAACTCTAAATCAGATAAATGTCTTATCTCCATGGGATCTTCTACCCTCACCTGCAGCCCAGGTAGAGAGCCTGCAGGGCCAGAAGAAGCTGAAGACTGTTTCAAGGTTGTAGTCAAGGAAATCGATAATCTACCTATTTAACCTAAACTCTATGACATAGCAGCTCTAGCTATTGGTGAAATTTACAGTCCCAGCTTCATTCAGGGCAGGGATATTTCCATTAGAATGGTGCCTTTAAAAATAGAAACTAACCAGGGCTGTGATGAAGTTAAGGCCAAATGTTCAAGACGTAGAATATAGCTGCCAATTTAGAAACATGAACAGGAGTCTCGGGAAGATTCCCAGGAGCACCCAGAGCAACAAGACCAAGTGACACTCGGCCTCAGTTGGACCATCTGCTAATTGAAAATCTTATCCTGAATCATACTGAGACTGATCAACTCCAGTAACTTTCCGGTTCAGATTTTGTCACACACTAATGTTTTCATTATGAGGTTTTCTCAGCCAGGGATAGATACATTCTGAAGTGCTTGGACCAGCAGCACAGAAACACACACTGCTGACTGTAAGGAAGGCACTAAACTGGAAATTAAATTGTTCAATCTCTCACTTAAAGTCCTCTAGAAGTTTTTTTAATATATTTAGGTATTCCTATATTGGCTGCAAATATGTTTACCAGGGTTATATCCTCTGGTTGGATAAATCCCTTTAGTATTATGTAGTGACCTTTGTTGTCTCTTGTGATGGCCTTCATTTAAAAGTCTATTTTGTTGGATATGAGTATTGCTACTCCAGCTTTTTTTTCTTTTCCATTTGCATGGATTTTTTTTCCCATCCCTTAACTCTCATCATGTGTGTGTTTTGTTTTGAGGTGTGTCTCTTGTAGACAGCATATAGTTGGGTCGTATTTTTGTATCCGTTCAGCTACCCTATGCCTTTGTTTGGAGCATTTAATCCATTTACATTTAAGGTTATTATTGATAGGTACTTATTAGTTTTAAAAAATATATTTTTTTTATTAATTTCAGAGAGTTAGGGAGAGGAAGAGATAGAAACATCAATGATGAGTGATCATTGATCGGCTGCCTCCTGCACGCCCCCCACTGGGGATCAAGCCCGCAACCCAGGCATGTGCCCTTGACCGGAATCGAACCCCAGACCCTTCAGTCCACAGGCCAACACTCTATCCACTGAGCCAAACCGGCTAGGGCGATAGGTACTTATTTATTGTCATTTTATTTCTGTATGGCTAGGTTTCTCTCTCTGTTTCTTCTTATTACAGCAGTCTCTTTAGCATTTCTTGTAATGCTGGGTTGGTGGTGATAAATTCCTTTAGCCTTTTTTTTTTGTCTGGGAAGCTCTTTATTTGACCGTCTGTTTTGAATGATAGCCTTTCTGGGTATAGTAATCTTGGTCTCAGATCCTTGATTGCTGTTGGCACAGAAGTGGGTGGGTTTGACCCTCAGGTTAATTGGCTGTGGGAATGGCTGTGACTACAGTGGATGAGCTTTTGTGTAGTGACTGACCCCATGGAGTACGATTTGCTTTAACAAGGCTCTGTTGTCTGCTAAGTGCACCCTTTGGGTGTGTCATTTTGGAGCAGATTGGGTGGTTCTCTTTGTGATTTGAAATTGGCCACCAGCTATGTTAGTTGTGGGGCCTCTTTGGGGGGACTCTGGTGCCGGCCAAAGTGAGCTGCTGCCTATGCTTAACATTGGGCCACGTGGTAGGTGCTACTGTGTGATCTCATGTTGGTTACTATTTGCACTGAGGCCGCTAGTGCCTGGGAGAGGCCATGTTGTGAACTGAGACTGGCTGCCACTACTGCTGGGGTTGGGGCCCCTTAGGAAAGGTACCGGGCACATTGCAGCCAGCCACTGCTTGTTTGGAGTTTGCGGACCTTTGAGAGATTTTAGGAACATCTACAGTGTGGGCCAAGGTTGGATTCTTCTGAGGAACAGCCCCTGCAAAAGGTTCTGTCCAATGTGCGAATTTTGTATGATGAGGTCTCTGTGAATCACTTGGTTGGAGAAAGTGGTATTAGGTTGATGTAGACTCAGACTTGGCACTGGACTGTGCATGTTGGCTGGGCAAATGGACGGCTTAACATAGGAAAAATAGCGTCTGTCAGCCCTGCTAAGGGAGAGCTTCTTGAGCCCTCTAACTGAAGCCAGGCAATTCAGTTCCTCCCCATACATCCTTGGTTCTTTTTGAGCTGCTGTCACTTTGCTGAACCTTAGGATAGCTGTTTTTAAATAAGTGAGTCTCTACTCAGGTTTTATTATAATTTAAAAAAAAACACCTTTTTATTGATTTCGGAGTGAGGAAAGGAGAGAGTTAGAGAGAGAGAAACATCCATAAATATAAAAGCGTAAGCGACCAGAATGCTGGAACGCCTGGAATTACTGGTCGCTCTGACATGCACTGACCACCAGGGGGCAGACGCTCAATGCAGGAGCTGCCCCCTGGTGATCAGTGCACTCCCACAGCCAACCTCCTGCTGCCAGCCAACCTCCCCTGGTCCCTCCACCCATCCAGCAGGCCCCAGCCGGCAGGAAGGCTTCAGCTGGTAGCCGGAAAGCCCCGATTGGCCCTGATTGCTGGCCAAGCCTATGGACCCTACCTGTGCACAGATTTCATGCACTGTTCCTCTAGTCAGTGATGAAAGAGAATCATCCTTTATTATGGCTGAGTAGTATTCTATTGTATACAGGGTGGGGCAGAAGTAGGTTTACAGTTTTGAGTATGCAAAATAGTGTATTATTTTCTTGTATTATTATTTATTAATTATTGTATTACTTTTCATACGAACAACTGTAAATCTACTTTTGCCCAACCCTGTATATGTACCACACATCATCTTATCTATCATCCACTGAAGGACACTTGGGTTGTTTCCATGTCTTGACTACCATGAATAATGCTGCAGTGAACACAGCAGTGCGTATATCTTTACTAATACTCTCTCCCTCCCTCCCCCCCCCCCCCCCCAGCTATTTTAAGGAAATAG